GGCGGCGGCTCCATGTCTCCGGCTCTGGGGTTCAGGAAGAACTGGTCCCCCCACGACGCCCCGCCGCTGGGCTGCGAGCTGCGGCACCAGTCCCGGCCCCGGCTGGAAGCGGCTGCCTGGACGGAGAGCCCAGGCGTGGAGCTGCTTTCTGTCACCGCAGGAAAGCGACCCCGCGGGAGGAAGAATGGCGTGGGGCTGGTCCCCAGGTGGGGGATGGAGGAGAAGGGGAAGGGGAGGGAAGGGGACGGCAGCTGTCAGCAGGGTCGCCTTTTCCCCCACACCCCCCCAGGACCTGGAGCCCCAGGCTGGCCACCAGCCCTGGCCCCTCCTGGGGCACTGGGTGAAGCTGTTTGGTCTCCCCGGGACTCCCGAGCAGGGCTGCTGGGGGGTTTGGGGGTCCGGGGCAGCGCGGGTTGGCGCAGAGCCCCACCACCTCCTTGGAGAGGGCCAGCCTGGGGGGAAGGACCCCCGACCCGGCACCACCACCCTCACCATCTGCTGAGCCTGTCTCTGCCCGGGACTGGGGGGGAGGGCGAGTGGACGTGGCTGAGCCACCAGCACCATGGAGGACAGCAGGGACAGGCCCTGTGACTCCTGCTGTGCCTGCGAAGCTGCCCCGGGACCCCCTTCCTCCTCCTTCCCTCCTGCAGGCAGCGTCTGGCCCACAAAGGGTTACGCAAGGCACCCTGGAGTGACACCACTGCCACCAGCCCGGGAGCTCAGCTCCTTCCTGGTCGGATTCCAGGCTCGGTGAGTGCCTAACCTTGTCCCCCCGGGATCTGCCGGCCCCCATTCCCGTCTGGGGACAGGGACCCAGCCCTGCTTTCACCTGGGGAACCGGCCATGCTTTGTCCCTCTCCGGGTGGCTCCAGGGCCTGCTGACCCTCCTGGAGTGCTGCCCCGGTGGCAGGGAGATACCCCGGGGGGGGATCCTGGGACCCCGCCGTCGCAGCTCCGTGCCCGAGGGCTGGAGGACATGCCTTCACCCTACTGGTCTATACCCCGGCTGGCTCAGACCTTCCACAGACCCTTTTCCCAGAGTGGGGGGTCAGGATCGGTCCATCGCAATGTGGGTGGGGTTGGGTCTAACTGGAGCTTCTGGGGGGATCCGGGACCCTGGTCCTGCACGGCCAGGACCAGGCAAGGGACAAGCGGTTTTGCAGCACTGGCTGAGACCAGGGACCCCGCTGATCCCAGAAAGGCTTTGGGGTCCCAGATTGAGGACCCCTGTCGGCGGGGGAGTTGGGAAACAGGTTATGGGCGGTGGGGATGGCTGTGGGGCAAGGCTGGGGTGGGCAGGGTGCATTGCTTTCCAATAAATAACTTCCCCACCCGTTGCTGTCCCCACGGTGGGCATTGCCGGCGGTGTCACCCAGGGCCAGGCACAGCCCTGAATCAGGGACCGTGCAGTAGGACGAGCTGCCCCGGCACAGCCCGGGCTTCGTTTGGCACTGAAAACCCTGGGAGATGCCGGCCATGGTGCATGTGTGGGGCAGACTGGGGTGCGTGGGGCTGCCCATGCTGCCGGTGCCTGGTGCCAGGCGCGTCAGGCTGGGCTGCGGTCAGCTCTGCCCAGATACTGCCTCTCCCGGCGGGGCCATTTCACGTGCGGGCTGGTTTCTGTTGGAAACCGGCTGAGCCGGCTCCTCCGGCTGCCAGCCTTGGCCTTTGGCTCGGGGCAGGCCCTACGCCAGGTCCCCAGGGGGAGACCGGGGACAGAACCGGGGCTTGGTGGCACCGTGGGCGCTGCCCGGGCTGGCTTGCGAGACAGGAGCTGCTGCTGTCCCCACGCTGTCCCTCCCGCCCCAGACTGCCGCTGCCCACGGAGAGCCACCGGTGGCAGTGGGACACAGGTGCGTGGGCGATTTGTGGCACCCCGGTGATGGGACAGCAGTGGGAGCTGGCTGGGGACAGTGGGAGGCTGTGTTGGGTGGCAGCGGGGTCGGGTCTGGCACAGCGGATGAGCCGTCACCCTGGGGAGTGGGATGCTCTGGCTGCCCCACGATCGGGGTCCCTTGGACCTGTGCCTCACGCTGTGTCACCGGCGGGCATCCAGGGAGCCTGCAAGCGCTGACCGGCTGACACTGGTGGCATGGCTGAGATGGGACCCGCCAGTTCAGCTCACTGATCCGGCAGGAAACCACCCTACCACCATGCTGGCGTCTGCTGTGTGTTACCAGTCTTACAAGCACCGGGACAGGACCGCGGGTGCCACCCCACTGGGGCCCTGCTCAGCCCCAGCCACCCCCTGGGCACATGTGTCCCCGCGTGTCGAGCACCGGCGGGTGGCGGGTGGGTGCTCAGGCTGGTTTCAGTGGCTCATGACGCAGAGTGGAAACCCGGACTCTGCCCTCCACGCTCGCCGGCTTGCAGCCCAGCCGGCTGGGGCTATTTCTGAGGCCTGGGTGAATGATTACACCACCCCTCCCCGGGGCTGCCGTGAGCCAGGTCTCATTTCGGGGGCCCAGCTGGCTGCTTCGGTGCGGTTCCGGCTGGGGGCTGGCCATGGAAAGCCCCCGTGCTGGAGCTGAGCCACCGCACTTGCCCCAGGGCTGGCTGCCCACTGCCGGCCCCAGCTTCCCCATGGGATCCCTGCTCGGCATTGCCCACGGGGCAGCAGCGCTTGTCTCTGATGCCCGCTGATCCTGCCAAAGCTGCCCGCGGCCGATTCCCAAAGGGGCTGCAGAGGTTTCCAGCTTCCCATGGTGCCAGTGTGGGGGGGCCCTGAGCGGGCTTGAGCGTGGCTGAGCACGGCCCCTGGCACGGCTGTCCCAGAGCCCTCGGGCACCACGGGGCCGTGCGGGTGCCGTGGGACAGGGTGCTCGGGCAGCAGGGCCAGCATGGCCAGAACTGGGGGCTGCTGCCGCGGCAGAGCCATTGGCCAATCGGAGCCCCGGGAGATCTGCCACAGCAGAGCCGTTGGCCAATCAGAGGCCCGGGAGATCTCCACAGCAGAGCCATTGGCCAATTGGAGCGCCGGGAGATCTCCATGGCAGAGCCATTGGCCAATCAGAGCCCTGGGAGATCTGCCACAGCAGAGCTGTTGGCCAATCAGAGATCAGAGGGATCTACCATGGCAGAGCAGCCGAGCAGTCAGAGCCTGGAGAGGTGGCACTGGTGGCAGAGCCATTGGCCAGCTGGATCCTGGGGTCCTGCCGTGGCAGAGCTGCCAGCCAGTCGGTGCCAGGGGACAGTGCCCATGCCTCAGCTGTCGACCAGTCGGCACTGGGGAGATCTCCCCGAGCCAAGCTGCTGGCCAATCCTCGACGGCAGCACAAGGTGCTCTACACCAGACCCGGCAGCGCTGGCATGGCCGTGGCCCGTTGTGCCCATGATGGGCCGTGTCTGTGCCTGTGCCGTGGCTGTGGCCATGCCGTGCCTGTGCCGTGCTGTGGGTGGGACCAGGACGGGCGCTGGCAGCCCTGGGGTGCGTGGGGCAGGGGTGGGATGTGCCGTCCAAGGGGCAGCCCGGCTGGGAGCGGGGGCGTTTCACCTCCCGCCAGCCATGGGCTCGGGGCTGGTGCGGGCAGGCGATGGGTGTGGGTCCCTGCGCCGGTCGGAGGGGTGAGGACCTGGTGGTGGTGGTGGCATTGTGCTGGGCTGTTGGCTTTCCCGTCCCCATTGCCCCAGAGAATGACTTGATGGTCTCACCGGGGTGTCCTTGGCATGTGCAATGGCACGGATAAACCCGGACCCTTCGAGTCCCTGATCAAACTGGCTCCGTCCTGTCCCACCCCATGGGAAGTCGCCGGAGGCCCTGGCCCCACTGTCCCCCACCCCACGCAGGGATCCCGCGTCTCTCTGGGTTCACGCTGACGTTTCCTCTGGGGAGCCAGGAGCCGGTGGAGGGGATCCCTGGGCCCATCCCAGGTATTTCAGCCTGGATGGGACGTCACCCCGTCAGTCAGGCTCCTCTGTCCTCGCTGGAAAACATTGGATTTGGGGAAAACCCAGGGAAACCAAAGGGTGAAGTCAGGGCACTGGTGCTCCCGAAGCGGTTGGCAGAGCTGCCGGCTCCGCCGTCGTGCTGGAACCCAGAGCAGGTGGGTGGGAGGGCGCTGAAGCACCGTCTGTCCCCTTCTGTGGACACGCATCCAAGGGGATGGAGCTGAACCTCCCGAGGGGGGGATTTCATGCTGCACGGAGGCAGCTCTGGGTTTTGGAGCCAGCTCCCATGCGGGGTTAGCTGCGATGTGACACGACTGCAAGTCCTGGTGGCCCTGGTGGGTGCCTGGGCGCTGCAGGGAGCTCTGTCCCCTGCACCCTCACGGTCCCCAGTGCCTGCGGCTCAGCTTTGCTTCTGCTCTTTGTTGCAGCCCGAAGTGGGATTGAGGAAGGGGACAGCAGCTGCAAAGAGGAGCCGGAGCCGGTCCGCGCCCCCAGCCACTGGGCAGGGGCTCGCGGCCCCGCTGCCGGTGGGCGGGGGTGGCCCCCCGCGGGGGCCACCCGCGGCCGCCATCCCTCGCTTGCGTTGGCGGGTGGCCACCATGGAGGAGATGGTGATCTGGGAGCAGCACACAGTGACGCTGAGCAAGGTGAGCACGGCCCGGGGTGGCCATGGGATGGGACGGGGTCTGTGGGGCCGGCTCTGCCTGACCCCTCTCTGCCCATCCCCACTAGGACCCTCAACGGGGCTTTGGCTTTGCTGTCTCTGGAGGCCGGGACCATCCCAACAGGATGACCGGGGACATGGCGGTGGTCGTTTCGGATGTGGTGCCCGGGGGACCGGCAATGGGCCGGCTCCAGTGAGTGCATGGGGATGTGGGAACGTGGGGGGCGCTTGCTGCCAGTGGAGACAGAAAGGGCAGTGAATTGCTCCTGCTGGGACAGGGCCAGCACCGCTGCCACCCTGCCTGGCTGGGATGGGGTCCCCCTGGGGCAACGGGTGCCCTTGCCACCCTGCCAGCTCCCCCGGCTGGGGGCTGCACCTGGGGCAGAGCCACAGCTGCGTTTTCCCTCCCAGGAAGAAGGATCACATCGTGATGGTGAATGGCCTTTCCATGGAGAACGTCTCGTCCTCCTTCGCCATCCAGACACTTAAAACCTGTGGCAAGATCGCCAACATTGTGAGTGTGCCCTGCGGCGGGATGGGGACCGGCATTGTGCGTGGGACCGCACCGTGCCTGTCTCCATCCCAGCTCCCCTGTCCCACACACCCTGGGGGTCCCGTTCGGGGCTTGGAAATTGCTGTAGAAACATCTGGCAGAGACGGCTGGCCCCACCATCCTCTCCTTCTCACTTTCCACCTGCAGACACTGAAAAGGCCGAAGAAAGTCCACCTCCCCGCCAGCAAGAGCAGCCCCGGGTCCCCCACCGCGCCCCGGCGCTATGACTCGGATGAGGACTACAGGTCGCACGGTGCGGATCCGGCCCTGCACCGCTCCCGGGATGACCTGGACCACAGCCAGGGCTATGATGGGGACTCGTCCAGCGAGAGGAGCTCTGGCCACCACCGGGATGACCGCCGCCACCACAAGTCAGTGTCCCGGAGCCAGAGGCGAAGCCAGGACAGCAGCCACTGGAGGCAGAGCCCCGGCAGCGACTCGGATCAGAGGGGCTACAGCCGGCACCGCTCTGCCAATGGCTTCAGCCACGAACAGGACACCAACGGGCTGGCGCTGGTGTCGGGATTCAAGCGGCTGCCACGCTGGGACGTGCCGATGAAGCCCATCACGTCGGTCCTGGTGAAGCAGAAACAGAACGAAGGTGAGGCCCTCCCGCTCCCTCTGTCCCTGGGTCTGGTCGCCTGATTTGTGGCCGGGCATCCCCCTGGGGAGGAGGCGATGGCAGGGTTGGTGCCGGGGTCTGGCATGCGGCGAGGAGCAGTGTGTGCCATGCTGGGTGCACCAAACCCGTCTGGCCTCAGCCCAGGGTTGCAGAGCTCCACTTTGGGGCTTGCTGGTGCCCCAGGGAGAGCCAGGGCAGGCTTGTGGGGATGGTGGTGAGGGGGGACGTCGAGGGGGTCCTGCGTCTGCCTGGCTCCAGCACCGTCATGGGCTCTCTCTGGTGCAGACTACGGCCTGAAGCTGGGAAGTCAGCTCTTCATCAAGCACATAGTGGAGAGCGGGCTGGCAGCGAAGGGCAGCTCCTTGCAGGAGGGAGACCTCATCCTGAAGGTACGGGGTCCCATGGGGCGCACAGCACTTTATGGGGATTGCATCTCCCCCTCTTTGGGTGGCTTGTCCCTGGCTACTGTCACCGCAGGGACAAGCCAAGACCGTGCTTCTCTCGGCTGCCTGCAAAGGATGGCAGCTTGGCTGGAGGCAGCTCTGTCTGGTGCCCGCACCCTGCCCCGGCTCCTCAGCCATCACCAGGGACCCCGCGTGGGCTCTCGGGTACCGGCTCCCTACGGTGCCAAGGCTGGCTGATTGAGGCAGCCCTGCGGTGTTCAACCAGGGACAGTGGCTCATCCCACTGCCACAGTAGGATCCTGTCCTCCCCGCCATCCCCATGGTGCCTGGTCCCTTGCCGCGAGTGTGTGTGTCCCCTCCAGGGGAGCAGTTGGCCCGAGGAGCTCAGGTGTTCATGGTGTGTCAGGTGAAACGATGCTTCAAGTATTTGGGGAGGAGGAAATAGAGAGAGGGAGATGCTTCATTTGCACACATGGGCCAGGCAGACCCGTGGCTGCTGGGAGCTGGGGCCAAAGTGACTCTGGGGCAAACAGGACAGATTTCATCCCAGCAATCCGTTGGGAAGAAGCTGCTGCACCTCAGGGAGATCACAGCCCCACGGTCTGCTTGGGGCCTGACTGCCTGGCACCAGTCCGGTGCGTGGAAGGACAGTGCTGGGCCAAAGTCAGGGTAAAACTGAACTTCAGGAAGCATCTGAGCTGGTCGCTGTGGCTCCTGCCTCCGTGCAGGCCCCCCCTGCAGCTAAAGGCGGGAGTTCACTAGTGTTGCTGATTTGGTTCCTCTGTGCAGGATGAGGGCCCACTGGGAAGCAGGCAGGAAGGGGGATGCGGCCCAGGATAGGCGAAGCCAGCTGGGGCCGGGCTGGGAAGGGACCAGGAAGGCGGCAGTCGGAGCATCCCGTTGGAGCGGGGCTTTCCTGGGGGTGGCTTTCCCAGGAGTGAGTGCCCTGAGGCCTTCCGCTCTGTCCCCTCCAGATCAACGGGGTGGCCAGCGAGGACATGTCCCTGGCTGACACCCAGCAACTCATCGAGCGGACAGAGGGGACCCTGACCCTGCTCGTCCTCCGGGACGACCTGCAGTTCCTGGTCAACATCCCTGACATAGAAGACAGCCAGAGTGACAGCTCCCGGATGGATGGTGAGGGGACACGGTGACGGGGCTGGGGGCCAAATACACAGCACAGGGACTGGATGGTCACTAATGCATCTTCCCTCCTGTTGCTGCAGATATCTCTGACATCGACTCTGAACTGTCCCATCCGCCATCCCCTGAGACCTCCCCGCGACCTTCAGCTGCTGCCAGGATGAATTCACCACCGTAAGCGCTGCCCTGTCCCCGTGAGCCCCGCTTTCCCCCGTCAGATCCCCCTGCGTTCTCTCCCTGTCTGCCGGGGCTGATTCTCCTCCATCCCGGAGCCGGTTCACCCTGGAGGTGGGACTGCCATTTAGTCCCCAGCTTGCTCCGCTGTCCCTGCTGCCCACTTGGCACTGCTTGCCTGTGACCTGCCTAAATCCTGCCCCAACTTTCTTCCAGGGAGAGGAGACGATCGAACAGGGACCCTGTGGCCGACACGACCGTGGATGATGCTCGGGGCCCTGGTGAGTGAGCTCAGATCAGGCCGGGGGAGCTAAGGGCACTGAGTGGGCTCTGGGCTCCTGCGTGTCTCCGCTGTCCGAACCCCCCTGGCAGAGCCGCGCCAGGTGTCCCCATGCCTTGGCTGCCCCGGCAGCGGCGCAACCACCGCCGCCTCCTGGACCAGCCCTCCTTCCCCACAGACCTGCTGGAAGCTGTGGAGGGGGATGGCTGCCGCAGCCCCCACGCCAGCCCTGCTGCCCGAGCTGCTCGCAAGGACGGGTACGTCTGCAAGAGGCAGTGGGGAAGGGCTGGGGGAGGTGGGGAGCTGCTCCGGTGCAGGGTTGGGGTCACAGGGCTGGTGACCCCCTGTGCTGTCCCTGGCATGTCACTGTCGGGCTTCCCCCGTGGCAGGTACAGCGCCGACTCCAGGGTCGTGCACTTCGTGAAGGCCAAGGGCGGCGGCCTGCGGCTGGCCGGCGGGAATGATGTGGGCATCTTCGTGTCGAGCGTGCAGGAGGGGAGCCCGGCCGACAGCCAGGGCATCCGGGAAGGGGACCAGATCCTGCAGGTACCCAGGGCTGGGAACGACTCCGAATGCTTCTGCACCTGAACTGGCCCCATCCCTCTTGGGTCTGATACCGCCCTGGGGCTTGGATTTCTCCTGCTGGGCATCGTTTTGGGTCAGTGCTGGTGCCCATGGCCCATACCTATTGGGCTGGCTCTGTGGGCACTGCCCGAGGGGACGGTCCTGTCTCCAGCACCATGCTCATGCCCAGTGGGGTCCAGGCACCACCTCAGCTGGCCCAGTGGCCCTCCTCAGGGTGACTAGGGGTTGTGGCAGGCACTTGGGTGACAGGGACCAGTTACCTCTCCCACCCTGCCCTGGGCACTGCCGTCCCTGGTACCCGTGCTCTCCGTCCCGCCGGCGGGGCCATGTCTAAGTGCTTTTCCATGGCAGGTGAACAACACCAGTTTCCAGAACCTGACCCGCGAGGAGGCCGTGGAGTATCTCATGAGCCTGCCACCGGGCGAGGACGTCATGCTGTGGACCCAGAGCAAGCAGGACAGTGAGTGATGACAGGACTCATCCTGGGCTTGTGCCTCTCCATCCTCTGTCTCTTCTGAGCAAGCATCAGAGCTGCTGGACTTGCCATGGCCCTTTCTGCCCTCGCAGGGTGGTCCTTCTTCCCTGCACCCCCCTCCTCCTCCTCCAGAGAGGTGATGGGAGGGGACCAGACCATCCTGGCCCTGTTTGTGCCTCGGCATCCTTTCCGGCATGCTTTCCGGCACTGTGGCTCAGCCTGGAGAGGCCAGTGTGTGCTGGGGGGTCAGGTCCTGCTGTTCCCAGCACGCCTGAGCCATGGGAGGAAAAGATGTCCCCAATGCCCTCCTTATCGGCTACTGTGGAGGCTCCCAGCCAGCCCAGCTCCTTCCCAAATCCCTCCAGCACCTTCCTCTCCAGGATCTTCCTCCTCAGTCACCTCTTCCCCTGATGGTCCCTCTCACCCTGGGCTCCAGTTTACAGGAAGATGATCTCGTCCAATGTGGGCGACTCATTCTACATCCGGACGCACTTTGACTTCGAGAAGGACACGCCGTCGGGGCTCAGCTTTGTCCGTGGGGACGTCTTCCACGTGCTGGACACCATGTACCGGGGCAGGCTGGGGAGCTGGCTGGCTGTGCGCATGGGCAGGGACCTGCAGGAGCAGGACAAGGGCATCATCCCCAACCAGCGCAGGTAGGGATGGAGCCGGGAACAGCCCCAAGACAAGCAGAGCCAGGGAATGGCTCCCCAGTGAGACGGGGACACGGATGGTGGGCCCAGTAAGAGGCAGGGCAAGGGCTGGTGGAGCAGCGGTGGGAAGTGTGAGCCAGTGAAATCCCTTCTCGGGGTTGATGGGGCAGTTGATGCTCTGGTTGTCCGAGGTCCCGGAGGGAAGAGGCTACCACAGCCTTATCTGGCCACGCCACTGAGCGGGGATGCTGGCTTCTCCTGTCCCACTCCTTGGAGCTCGGAGAGACAAAGCAGGGGGGTAAATCCGGAGGCTGCAGGTCCTGAGCCCTTTCCCCTCCCAGGGCCGAGCAGATCGCCAGCCTGGAGTCGGTGCTGAAAGCCACATCCAGTGCCAACCCCTCTGGGGCACGGGCCGAGTTTTGGAAGCTGCGGGGCCTGCGAGGAGCCAAGAAGATGCTACGGAAGAGCCGGGAGGACCTGTCTGCCCTCACAAAGCAGGGCCGCTACCCGCCGTATGAGAAGGTGGTCCTGAAGGAAGGTGGGCACCAGGGCTGTGTCCCCATTGCCCAGACCCACCCAGGGGACGTCGGCCCTGGGGCTGCCCTGCTGCGGGTGCTAGTGGGCTCCACTCTCCTGGGAGGAGTGGGGTGAGTCCCAGGCTCACAGGCACCTCGAGGAGCGGGGCTGGATGCCTGGGCGCTGCGAGCTCTGCCCTCGCCCCCAGCCTCCCTGAGCCAGTCTGTCTTTTCCCCACAGCCAGCTTCAAGCGGCCGGTGGTGATCCTGGGCCCCATCGCAGACATTGCCATGCAGAAGCTGAGCGCGGAGCTGCCTGAGCTGTTTGAGATTGCCCGTAAGTGCCCCCCACCCTGGGGAGAAATTGTATCCAGCAGACGGACCCTCGGTGTCCAGGACCTGCGGGAGCTCTTTACCTGCGGCTCTGTCCTGATCCTGCCTCACTGCCCCCTCCCTGTGACACCCCAACACCATCCTGGACTCACTCACCCTCTCCCCATGCACCGTGATACCAGCCAGGCCCCAGACATACCCCGCCTTGAGGGACACAGCCCTGGGGCCGGGCATGGCCCTGGGGGGGCCACATCTCCCCCAGCCCCTCTCACGCCACGTCTCTGTGTCCTGCAGCGAGCGTGCCCCGAGACGGGGCATCGGCCAAGGTCATCAAGTTGGACGCAGTGCGGCAGATTGCAGAAAAGGTGAGAGACCTTTCCCGTGTCCTTGGAGCCGGGTGGGCCAGGGCCTGGGGGAAGAGCCCATGGCCTCCATCCCTGTCCCTGTCCCCAGCGGGGCTGATGGCCGTGCCCTGCCGCAGGACAAGCATGCCTTGTTGGACATCACGCCCTCGGCTGTGGAGCGCCTCAACTACATGCAGTACTACCCGGTGGTGGTGTTTTGTGAGCCTGAGAGCCGGCAGGGCATCAAGGCCATGCGCCAGTGGCTGGCACCCGACTCCAGGAAGAGCTCCCGGCGCCTCTACGCCCAGGCCAGCAAGATGAAGAAGTACTGCAGCCACCTCTTCACCGCCACCGTCAGCCTCAGCGGCAGCAGCAACACCTGGTACGAGATGATCAAGGACATCATCAGGACGCAGCAGAGCCAGCCCGTTTGGACATCGGCGGAGCAGGTACAGGGCACGGGGTCACTGCGGCAAGGCTCAGCCTGCTGGGGCTGCAGCCAGGCAGGTGATGGGGCCACGCACCCGTCCCCCGCACCCGTGGGGTCCCGGATCTCTGTCATCCCCACCCTGCAGGCAGACGTGGCCCTGGAGGACAGTCTGGGACTGCCGCACCCGCCGCCAAGCGCGACCCCCTCGGGCTACCTCACCTGTGACAGTCACGCCAACAGCGACTACGATGACACAGATGGCGAGGCAGGCGCCTACACTGACGGCGAGGCCGAGGACACCTACGACCAGCCCGGGCTGGCCCGCTCCTCTGAGCCAGTGCAGACGTCCCCAAGCCACGGCCTGAGCGAGCAGGTGGGTGACCCCATACTGGTACAAGGGGCTGGTCGGGAAGAGGGAGGGTGGCACAGTGCCCGGCTACGGGGGCCAAGTCCCGTCCCCTGCAGCACAGGCAGGGTGCAGGGTCCAGCCGCGCATCCATGCCCAGCTCTGGCTCCCCGTGGGGGAACGCAGCTGAGCCCAGGCTGGGGCACAAATCCTGCCCCTGCCTCTGACCCCCCCATCTCTCTGGTCTTTCCCAGGTGACCGAGCAGCAGCGGCAGGGCCAGCGCTACGACAGCATCAGGTACCCTGCGCAAGCCCGGGGGTTAAAGCAGCCAGCCCGGGGGCTGGGGAAGGGCCTGTGGATCCAGTGCCAGCTCTGCCTGGCCTGACCCTGCCCAGCAGCGGCCTGTCACTGCCACTTGTCCCAACCGGGTGGCAGAGGCATCACCGCAGCTTCTCATCCCCCAGGGAATATGAGCACGACGCTGTGAGGAAGAGGTTCACACGGGCCAGGGACGACTCGGACCAGGACGAAGGCTACGAGTGGGGCCCAGCTACAGATGTGTAGTGGCACTGCTGGCCTCTGTCCCACTGGGCAGCCGGGCCCCTTGGGGCAGCCCTGCCCCAGCCCCACACCACCGGGCCCCCGTGACAGCGCAGGTAGTGCCACGCAGCACCTTGCGGCCAGGCTGGGTTGGGCCTAATCCTGCTGTACCCCTCACCACCCAGCACCACCAAGTGCCTCCTTCTGCCTTTTGGCCACAGCCTCTGCTGCTGGAATAAAAGGGATGTTTTGATCAGGACGGGGTGTTTCCGTGCATGCTGGCTGGCAGGGGAAACCTACGCAGCAGGGTGGCCTTGCTGGGAGCCAGGCACCTCCGCGGCCGGAGGCCCTGCCTGCCCCCGAGAGGCATCGCTGCGGGAATCAGGCTTGGATCGTGCCAACGTCTGGCACCGCAGCGGGCTCAGGGTGCGTGCCCCAGAGCCAAGCCTCCTCTCCTGCAGCCCAGCCAGGGCTCCTGAAACGCAGCCTCCCACATTCCCCAAAACTTTTATTTTTACATCAACCAAGCACACAGGCAAAGTCAGGTCAGTGCTACCTTGGCTGTAGGGGCCCAGAGACCCACTCATGAAAAGACACATCACCAGGGGCTGGTCCTTGGGGCTCACGACCCCAAGCTCCCTGCGATGTGGGGCTGGGCAGTGTCGTGTTCCCTTTCGCTGCACCGAGGGCTGCGACCCGGTGCCCAGGCGGGCTGGGGCTGGGCTGTGCGTGCAAAGCGGTTAAAGGCAGCACCAGGGAAAAGCAGAGGTAGTTTCCCAGCTCGGTGCAACGGGTCTGACAGGGGGTCTGTTTGCACCCCCGACAGGCCCCTGCCAAAGCCAGGGAGGAGTGGGTACCAAGGGTGCTGCTGCACTTAAGGCTGAGTCTAGGAGCTGCCGGCTCTCCCTCGGGGGTGCCAGCGGGCACCCGCACCGGTGTGCAGGGTCAGCGCTGCTTGGGGGCGAGCCCCGGAGCTGTGCTTCCAGCACCAGCCCCACACGGGGAAAGGCACCGTTGGTGAGCGTAAAAGCACTGTGTGTGGTGACCTTTCAGGTGGGGTCCCCGCTCCTCCTGCCAGCACCAGGCCAAGGTGAGGGACCCTGTGAAGCAGCGGGACAGGCACCGTGCAGGCACTGTGAGGCAGGGAGGGGTGAACAGAGGGGAAGGAGGTGCCCAAACCATGGCACCACAGGCCCTGATGCTGCTCAAGCTGGGTATCAGGCCCCCAGAGTCTCCCACTGTGTCCTGAGTAAAACCAAAGAGGTGCAGGATTAGGCCTTGCTGGGGGCCAGAGGGCTCTGATGAGGGCGCTGGGGCAGGAGGCAGAGCCTGTCCTGCCCTTGAGGCCCCGGGCTCGCTCCTGCCTGGCCCCAGGCGCGTGCAGCGACAGCCGGGCACGGCCAGCCGCTCAGAGGAAGATGGGCTGCTCCTGCCCTGTCAGTAAGCGGTACGTGGAGGCCGGCATGGTCTTGATGTGGACCTAGGCAGAGACGCACAGATCAGCTGGGAGACACCAAACCCCGGGCTGGAGGGTGCTGAGGCAAATCCCTGAGCCGAGCCTGCTCCGTGTGCGGCTGCCCCGCGGCATGGGGGCCCTGGCCATCACCCAGCCCAGGACCGGCTCACCTCGCTGACCGCCTGTGTGAGGATCTGGATGATCTTCTCGTGGGGCGTTGCCACCACGCTCTGCCCGTTGATCTCGATGATGCGGTGCCCCACACGGATGCCACCTCTCTCTGCGATGCCCCCACGCATCAGGCTGCAGATCTGGGGAGCAGAGAGCGCGCTGGTAAGATCAGAGCTGTGCCCACAGCCCAGGGCCGTACGCAACCACCACCCCAAACCCTCTCATCTGTGTAGGTTCCCAGCAAGAGCTCTGGACTTGGGTGCTGGCTCCTCCAGCCCACGGGCGTGCAGCGAGGGCAGGCATGTCCTTCTGCATTGCTGCCACCGGAGCGATGTGCTGAGCTGTAGGGCAAGGGCAGCCCGCAGGCTTTTGTTCCCCTGGCTGACGGAGAGCTCAGCTCCCCCCATCGAATCCTCATGCTTCCATCAAGCCTGGGCTGCAGAGCCAGCGCTTCTCCCTGGGGCGGCAGCTCCCACGCTCCCGTGGGCTAACCGCGTCTCCAGTTCTAGTGTGAGCATCGGTCTGTGTGTGAAGCAGCTGTGCCACCCCCTCCACCCGCCCACCCTCCCCACCAACTCCTGCTGCTCTTGGAAATGCCCCTCTCTGCCTTTGCAACGCAGCCACAGAGCGGGGAGCGGCTGGGGGACTGGGGGGGCACTGGGGACAGCAACAAACGTCACTAAGGGCACGCCACAAAGCCAGGAAGAAACCACCACCCCAAAAGCAAACAGCTAAGGAGCACCAGGGAGACGGATCCAGCCGCCGGTGCTGCAGGAGAGCTGCAGAGAGCCTTTTGCCGTGGCGCAGCAGAGCCCTGGGACACCTCAGCCCTGGCAGGCACAAGGAGCGCTGGAGCTGTGCGCTCGTCCATGCGGACACAGCCAGAACCGCGTCCCTCTGCCAGACGGGCGGCTGAAGCCCTCGGCCCACCCTGGCCTGGCTCTGCTCCCGTCCCCGCGGGCACTCACCACGCCGTTCTCAACACAGAAGCCCAGCTGGTACTTGGAGTCGGGGCGCCGGATGACCGCCGTGGTGACAGGGGGACAGTGCACGATGTTCAGCGTCACCTCTGTCTGGTGCTTCAGCTCCTGGAAGATGGGATGGGGCTTTGTCAGACTTTGGAGCGCTATTTGGCATGGCTGAGAGGGGCGACACAGCCACGGGCTGAGGATTAGCAACCTGTTTTCAATGGGGAAACTGAGGCGCACACAGGGATACTGCCATGCTCAAATTCAGGGAGAAGAACTTATAAATCCAGTCCAAGATGTCCCACTCTGCCCCTGAGGCAACACTGTCTTTACTTCCAGCTCCTTCCTGCCCAGGTGGTAGAAGATGCTACAGGTTTCCTCCAGGACAGGTGCCTGCCTCCTCACCCACCCTCCTCCTCGGGCAGGGCCCTGCCTGCACCCTGCTGCAGCACGTTTAGTCCCCAGCTTTGTCCCTGCCTTGCCACATCCCTTCCTCCCAAGCACTCGGAGCAGGGACTGTCGCAGCCCGCAGGACGTGCGTGGCCCCCCGCGCTCCTGCCCCCTCTGCCCCCACGGCCTCCTATCACCCATCTGCCCGCAAGCTGGGAGCACTGGGGGGGACCCTGGCAATGCCAGACGCATCCAGGCCGGTCCCCGCCTCTGCCAGCACTCGCCCTCCGGCCAGGCTGGAGGCCGGGGCCACCCCGGGTGCAGCCCTGGCTCACCCGGATGATGCTCTGGCAGGTGGCGAGGGGCAGCCCCACCAGGCTCGTCCCGTTGACGGACATGAGGCGGTCCCCGATGCTCAGCTCGCCCGACCTCTCTGCGGGGCCCCCGTGCATCAGGTTGGCGATGACCACTGTGGGCAGGATGGAGCCCCAGCCCGACTCCACGATGGCGATGCCCAGGATCTCCCCCTTCTGCTTCTGGATGCAGACCTGGTGGGGGGCACAGACGGGTTACGGTCACCAGAGTCACGGGGCATGTGTCCCAGCCCCAGCACGGGTGTCCTGGGCCCACAGCTGGCTGGGATGGGGCCCAGTTTTGCAGGGAGCACCTCAGCTGCTCAGGGAGCCATGAAGGGGACGACACAGAGGTGCCGGCGGGTAGCCCACACTGTCCCCACCCCTCCAAAGCAGCTCTTACGTCCTTGCAGTTCTCCTGCCGGGAGAAGTGGGTCAGCTCCGCATTGTATTGCTCCTGGTCCTCGAGGGCACGGCTGTACTGGCGAGGGCTCAGCTCGCTTGGGTCGATGCTGTTGGCCTCCAGGAAGCGCTGGTAGGCCACGCCGAACGCCTGCCCGATAGCCTGAGCGATGATCTGGGCCTGGGGAAAGAGAGGGGTTCGTCACGCCCATGGCTCAGGGCCAACGGTCCCATGGCCAAACTGGAGCCAACAGCTGCCAGCGCCCTGCAATGCCCAGCACAGGCACTGCGTCCTGGGAGCTCCAGGGCGTCCTGGCTCCTTCCCTGCCTCAGTGGGCCCCTGTATGGTGCCAATCCTCTCCCCTTTTCTTGCTGGGCCCCTCTACATTGCAGAGGTGCTCAGGCTGGACTACTTCCCCCTCTACGTGCTCGTCGGGAGCCCCCAGCATGGAGACCCAGAGTACCCAGTCATTACAGCAGGATGGGGCCCAGGACCCCTGCGCCACCCTGCCCTCCCGAGGGACTCGCGTGTCGCCTCACGTCGGCCGAATGGAAGACATGGCAGATCATCTTGTAGAGCCGCTTTTCCTCTGCCACCTCCGACCGCCGAGGCAGTTTCCGGCGCGCCATGAGCACCACCAGGGAGCCGATGTCGGCGATGTAGGAGATGGTCTGGAGGGAGTGATCCATCATGGCCTCCTGGCAAGGGGGACACGGGCAGAGACGTTCAGCCCTCCCTGGCCCAGCGGACCCCATGGGCAGCCCGCGAGCCAGCCAGGCACCGCCACAGGCAGGAAGGGTTTGGGTTCAAACGCCACTGTGCCGGGATGCAGCTCAAATGCCTGGCAGACGCTGGGGAGAAACCACGTCTGTGCTAAAAGGCACAAACAGCTCCTTCGATCAAGGACTCATCCGTGTCTCTGGGTGCTGCCGGGGGACAAGACAGCTCTTCCCTCTTACTATAAAGCTGAAACTAATCCTGAGGCAAAGAGCTACAGAAATTTCAAGCCTCGGTTCCCTGGAACTTGGTCTGGGAACCCAGCAGCTCCCGCGAGGCGCAGTTTGCATGAGAAGCCATGCAGAGAGCCGAGGGACACAACACATCTGCGTGGGATGGCTGCGGAGTGACACATCTCCTCCCAGAGCGTGTCCTCACCCGTAGGCCATCCTTGAGCACGACCCCACTGGCGTGGGTGTGAAGCAGAGATCCCAAGGCCAAACAGGAAGGTTGCAGCAGCCCCAAAGCCACGCGGGTGCTCCCGTTCCCCGCTCACCTGTGTGTCAGCCGTGAGCACCTTGATCCTCTGCGTGGAGACAAACAGATCCACCTCGGTCATGGGCTGGGACTCCCCCTCCGGTGCCTGCAGAACGAAGCACCCAGGAGAGGTCACTGCTGCCGCCAGGACTCCTCTGGGTCCCTGCCCCGCAGGCGGGGGGTGCCCCTGGGCAGGTCCTGAGCGCTGCCCCATGCCCGCGAGGGGCCGGGCTGGCGGCAGTCATGCCCCCCTACCCTCCTGCACCTTGATCCTGTCCACCGCCTCCTGGGCCTGGGCCATGCGGACGCTGGTCGGGGGGTTCCTCTCCGAGACCAGCTGCGTGGAGCCCAGGTATTTTGCCCCAAAAATCACACCGTCCAGCAGATCCTCCGGGTCACAAGGGCCTGGAACTGAGGCATTGGGAAGGACTAAGCAGGGGCTGGTCCGCCCAACTCTGAAAACTGGGAGTACCAACTCCTACTGCCCGTTAGCCACATTCCTACACAGGGCAAAGCAGCTCAGTGCTTGGCAGACAGGCTCCTGGCATCACCGCAGGACCAACTCCGGCCCCAGGGCTGCCTCCCCCTTCCCTCGGGCACACCCTGGCACATCCCTCTTTCTCCCTTCCCAAGCCTGAGCATCCCTCCCTGATCCCTGAAGCACCCCCATTTGCTCAGCAAAGGGCGAGCTGGGATCGAACGAGCCACCTGGAGCCTGCAGCCACGTTCCCACCCTGCGTGGGCGCAGAGCTGGGTGCTCCCTCCCCGGCTGGGACCCCTCGCCACCCCGCTTTCGGGGTCAGAGCAGGAGGCGGTGGGTCAGGACTCCTGGGTGCTTTTGCTGCTTGAGCATAGAAGCAACTCACCCTCTTTGAAGGCTGGGCAGGAGGATGGGGGTTCCCTGTTCTGCAAAGCAACGAGAGAGCAGGTGAGGCTCTGGTTGGGATCCCAGGGATTCGGCCTGCCCGCCCCGCGGCCAGGCTGCCCCTGGAGCAGGGACAGGGAGGGCACAGCATCCTGAGGCGGCGGGGGGCACAGGGTCCTGCGGCTGGGAGGCTCTTCAGACCCACCAGCCTCTCCCCCAGGGCATGCACGGATCAAACAGCCGTGCAAGTATCCCCCCACATTCAGGGCAGCAGGAGCCAAAGCCAGTACCGAGGGTCTTGTCTGGGCACCCCAGCAGCATGAGGCCCTGCAAGACCCAAGAAAAAGACATCCCTGTCTCCCCTCTGCCCCCACCCAAAACCCCACGAGGGAGCAGAGCCATGGGGCACGTCCTGGCTTGCTGCTGCACTGCCGCAGCCCACGTGCAATGCACTCACGGTCACGCCGCCTTGGGGTGGCTGCTCTGCCTCTGGGGCCGGAGTGGGAGGCAGGGCCACCCAGGCTGGCTCCGGGGAACCGTCCCGATTGCCCTCGCAGGTGGAGTCGACCTCGCAGAGCCCCTCTCCATAATACCAGCTGCCAGAAGATCCTTCCTCTGAGCTCTCAGGCCTCTCCAGCCCTTCGGGCTTCTCCACAGCGGCCAGTTCCTCCCGAGCCTGCAGCACCTCCAGGTTGCTCCCGGCCAGGACGTCAGAGCGGGCCAAGGGCGTCTCAGTGCTGGCCTCGGGCAGCCCCCCCTCGTAGCACAGGAGGCTCAGCAAGTCCTCCCGGTCGGCCTCGGCAAAGAGCAGGCCATGGCAGGGCCGGGAGCAGGCCGAGTGCTGGGCACAGCAAGGCCGCGTCTCCAGGCCCCGGCCCGTGGCTACGTGCAGCGGGCAGGGCTGGCACTGGCCCTGGCACTCCCCGTAGCTCCGCCGGGGCTGCTCGCCCGCCAGCGCGGCTGCGCCAGTGCTTGAGGAGGGCAGCGGGCCCCGCTCGGAGGCGGGAGAGCGGTCGCAGAGGTTGGGGTCGAGGGTCTCGAGCTGGGCCAGCAGCCCCTGGATCTCCGAGGGCTCCTCCTCCGCGTCCTCGGCCCACTCGGCCCTGCCTGCGCGGGCGCCGGCCTCGGGGGCCTCGTCCAGCTCCATGCCCGTGGGGTCGCCGCTGCCGGGGGCTCGGGGGTGCCCCGCGTCCCGAGGGGTGCTCCCGGCGCTGGGGCTCCAGCCGGCGGAGCCCCGCGGCCCCGCGGCCA